ACGTTGTGAGGAGTGACAGCTTGTTCCAGTGCCTGCTAATCGTCCTCATCTGTGCCTGACTTGTCAATGCCCAGATTCTGTCAGTGCCAATCAGCCACTTAATTGAACACAATTAGCACCCCGCCCCAACCCCCCCCCACACACACCATATTCTTCAAAGGCCCATTTCTCTCCCTCCAGCGTCAACCCCCCCAACGCCTGCCGCTCGCCCGCCACCCTTCCTCCCCTTCTACCCCTCATTCTGCCTCTGTCTCTTCATCCTAAAAGGCGCACGGTGGAAGACACTTTTCAGTTTTTATTAATGTGCTGCGGCCAATTAACGCAGTGGCATGCAGGCCAGAGCCCGTCATCTGCTGCCTGCCACCATCCCGGCTGTCTGCTGTGGCCCCATGCCACCCCTCGCGCCACCTCCACCGTGACCAAAACGCTTTAATTCAATTTATGCAATCACTGTTATTTTTAAATAGTCATTTTGTCTGCTCAGATGAGGGGCCTTACTGCCCGCTGGGCCGGCCCTCTCATGTGAGGGATGGGGGATGGGTGGGACGTTGTGGGAGCAGGAGTCGACAGACTTGAGTGTGTGTGTGTGTGTGTGTGTGTGTGTATTTTCATTTCTTTTTCCTTCATTTTTTGTTTTGTTTTTGGTTATTAGATATTTAAATCTGGTTTTCTGAAAAGGGGATCTGAGGCATTGCAATATTTTTTGTGAACAAATTCTCAAAGAAAATATCTCCATTTGTTCCACAGTCGCATATTTTAGGGGTCTTAATATTTCGGCCGCTCTCACTGGGTGAGTGTGACTCTTGGGGTCACAGATTTAAACACTTTTCTCTTCCTGTAATCACACCCGCAGGACTGGCCTTCAAATATTGATCTGAAATTCAGTGTCATCACTGTGGATCTTTAATCACTCTGCTGAGGCGAGTATCAGCTGGGCAGATCTGCTAAGGTGCAAGATGCTATTCTGCAGCACTCAGATAACTTACAGACATTTGGAGTGCTCATTTTTCCCCGTCTGCCCCGGTGACCTCTGCCTAACTTAAAGGTACATCTCGGGGGCATTTTGATTTGGGCAGAACGGGGAGCTATCGGTGACAGAGGAACTAATCCAGTCTTGCGCAGATTAAGAGTATTTGTGGAGTGGGGTGTGTTGGCGCTGGCGCCGGGAATGGAACAGAAGGGGCTCCTATCAGCTCTCCAGGCAGGCTAGCCCTCAGGCCAGTGCAGTCCTACAGGAGTCTTTGTACTTCCCAAAGCCTCCACTTTTCCTCTCACTCTATATCACTTTCTCTTCTCTCCTCTGCCCCCCTCGCCCTCTTTCTATAGGCTCTCATATTTTCGCCCGCTCCATTTCCTCCCCTTACATTTGTGTATTTGCGCTGTTTTTGTCCAACACAAAAGTCTATGTGCTCAGTTGTTATCGCCACAAACTTGACATGCAGTTGCAATATGATTTTTGAGGGACACTTTGTAAGTCCACACAGACATAGACGCACATTAATTGTTCCAGGGACATCACAAACTGCTAATGATAAAATAGTTCTGGCACGTCTGCATTTTCTTTCTTCACTTGCCTCTCTCCGTCTTTTTGTTTGTGTGTCTCCTTGTTTCACTCGCAGTGTTTCTGTCTCCTTCACATTGTTTTATTCTGGAAAGAAATCCAACAACTCGTCAAACATTCGTATCGACAAAAAAAAAATGTAATTTGACTGTTGAAGAAATTAGGGAGGTATGAAAGAGACCCTTTTTGTGTCTCAAATGTACTATTTATTTATCTGAAAGGATGCACATTGTATCAATTTACACTTCCCCATTCACTTCGCCACAGGCTGGAGGCTCAGAAGTTGAGAGAATTAATTACTTTTTTATTATTATTTATAAAGTAATCTATCTGTAGAGAGGCAGCAGAGGAGGAGAGGGTGAGGGTGAGGGGAGTGTGTGTGTGTGTGTGTCTGTGTATGAGAGAGAGGGAGAGAGAGGCAGGGAACGCCCTGGAGCATTGTCCTTTAAACTAGGTCCTGGCTCACATTATCTCCCAAACCAGCACTCACACAACGTCGAACAACAAACGAACTCTGGGCTGCTGAGGACGCTGTATGCAAGGGGAGAGAGAGAGAGAGGTGGGGGGAGAGGGGAGGGGGATGGAGGGAAGTCGAGATAGACAAGGAAAGGAAGAAGTATTTTCCGCAAGAGTATGTTAGGAGAAATATTGTGAATAAAGGTGTCTTATTTTACCTTTTGAATTCAAACTCAACAAGTCCTGGTTAAACTACCTGGTTTCATACAACATGTCATTTCTATTTTGAGTCATTGAATGCCACAGATTCAGAGAAACAACATCAACAAAGTACAATCGGAAAATCACATCATCTTCTCTTGCTTTGTATAAACTGAAAAAAAGCTTTTTATTCCTCGGTGAGAGTAAATACACTGAGTAGGAGTTTGAGAGGGATTTTGAGTCAACGCCACAAGGAACATTACACTTTATGCCAGAATTTAATATCTATAAAGTTTTGTTTTACACATAGCGACAGAAATAAATGACGGTATCCAGCTGCTAATGTTTTTTTATGACCGTTTGTGACTAAGTATCATTTAACACTTGGATGTGAGCTTAAAGGTCTTTATGGGGACATCAAAGTAGCAACTAGAATAGCGTTAAGTAGAGTTCACACCTCTGCCAAGGCCCGACAGATATGAAACCACATTTAAGTTCGCCAGATCTGAATTATTAATTTGGATCTGCACTAAATTTCACACACTCATAAATATCAGTCCCCTAAATATTTCTAATTTTCTTTCCCATCAAGATTCATGAATAATCATTGGAGGTATCAATGAAAATAATGAAAAACGCCCTATTACACAATGTAACTTCTGGACCTGCACCAAAATTTGATGGGTTCATTTCTGACCCATGCTGCATTCTACTGACGAGTTTCATGGCAATCCGTCCAGCAGTTTTTGCATAATCTTGTTTACATACAAACAAACCGACCAATAAACAGACAGGGCTGAAAACATATGGTCTTTGTCCATGGATAACACAAGACATGTGGATAGAACTCATCACACAGTTTTGAGTCGTGTTTAGAGGCCGAAGTGACTCAACCTGGCACCTGAAAGATTTTTATTTTGCTGTATTAGTAAAAAATTCGGACTAATGAAAACCTTATTACTAGAGAGGAGCTTGTACCTTTTTCTCCTCCAGTAAAAGTTATAATCAGGATGGTCCTCTTCTTTTTTGGGAGGACGAGTGAAGGGTAACTACATCCTCGCAGATGACAAACTTGACAGGCTCTAAAGAGGTCGATCCATCCTAATTCGCTAAAATAGCAAAACTGCAACAATGTCGATGATAAGGAGTCATTTTCTTTTGAAGAACTTTCATGAGCATGAATTATAATAATCGAGCCGTTTGTTGGCTCTTCTATTTCACAAGGAAGCGATGTAATCAAGCTTCAATTAAACCAATGACTAAAATGGACTCATGCCCTCCAGCTGTCGCTCTCTGGACATATGAAGAGCTCCCCCCTACCTTCGCTCTCAGCCATCACATATACTAGTCCTCATCTTCCTCGCAGTGTGCAGCTTGGCTCCATATGGAAGGGAGCATCACATGTGTCCAGCATGAAGAGGGCCATGAATCTCCCTCTTATGGATACATGTCACATGCTCTGTCCACAGATGTGGAGGGGACGATGGGGGTTTTCCATACTGATAGAATTAACATGTGGAAATGACTAACCAGCCTTTATGCTTCTGATGTGCTTCGAGTGCTGCAGATTTCCTGGGAGGCCTTTTTGTAAAGATATGATTAATTTGCAGAATATGGTTAATTTTCCCTCTGTGGGATATTCCTGGCTTCGTGCATCCTTTGTGGACTGTTTGGCTCGCGTTGCCTATATGGTTGTGTTGTAAATGTGTGTGTGCATGCGTGCAAACATATGTCTGCATGTGTATCACCCCTGTGTAACCACCTCCATGATGGGCTAATTGGTTTAGCAGCCAAAGGGCCAAAGGCCAGTGCAGCATAGCGAAACTCAACATGAACCTGATGTTGAAAGGAAGGCTCCCTGCAATAGGAGGGAAGCATGTGTGGGACAATTCCCTTCTTACCACCCCCTCTTTCACACACACACACACACACACACACACACACACACACACACACACACACTCTCACTCTCTCTCACACACACACTCTCGCCACTTTCCCTTTTTCACTTAAAGGAACTCACAGCATAAGAAAACAAAATTCTTCACAGTGTTCTGGGCCTCTTCAGACTGGAGTAGCACCAGAGGTAATCTCTTCCATTTTAACATATTTTGAGACCTTCTTCTGACGAATGTCACATGCTATTACAGTAATCTAGAATATTGAATTGGAAGCTTTTATGCACTATGAATAATATACACACTGTAATATTCCGGCGAGCCCCAACTTGCAGTATCAGCGGGCCCCTCAGTAATGTTTGTGGAGCCTACTTTGTGTGTGGATCTGAGGGGATCATTTACCAGTTCCAACTCCATTACTATTCATGAGATGGGTAGGCTAGGGGCGAGGGATTAGGGACTCCCTTGGTGCTTGTTGTGCTGTAGGCTCGGGCTCAGGCCTCAGGCTCCAGGACAGGGGCTGTCTGGCACGGATGGTGGGTCTATTATCACCCTGGGACCCTTCTGTCCCAGAGCAGAACACTTACTGGCACCGCCAACTAATGGAAACAGTCTCTCTTGTTCCCTTTCTCCTTTTTTTAACCTCATCACCCTCCATGTATCCTTTCCCCTGCTCTCAAGAAAAAAAAAAAGAGATGGGGAAGTTTTTCCCTTTCCCTATTTCAAACTTGAAATTGTATATTTCTATCGCCATCTTTACCATGAAGTGCTGGGATGGCACTATATTTCCAGGGGAAAAAAAGTACTTTCCCTCAACTCTGTCAATTCTTTGATCCTCAATTTTCCAAATGTATAACATCCTCTGTTCCCCCCTTACCCCCCAGGTGATGAGCATCCTGAGTAACCCCAGCGCCGTACCCTCCCAGTCCCAGCACGACTTTTCCATTTCCCCCCTGCACAGCAGCCTGGACGGCTCCATCCCCATCTCGGCCAGCTGCAGCCAGCGCTCCGACACCATCAAGGGTGTGGACAGCCTGTCCTCCTCCCAGTCATACTGCCCCCCCACCTACAGTGCCACCAGCTACAGCGTGGACCCCGTCACCGCGGGCTACCAGTACAGCCAGTATGGCCAGAGTAAGTGAACCTCTGCATGAGCATTACATACTGAGAGAGACTGTGGGTGAGATGAACCAGAGCAGGTCATTTGTTTCTGCACCCTCCTTTTGACAACATTTAAAAAAGCCTCTGAAGTGATACCCAGGCAAGAGAACCTCCTGACCTTTGCACCCTGGTTGGTTGAGGCAGACACGTGCTCTTGATAAAGACCCCCCCTCTCTCTCATCCCACCACCACCATACTCCCAGAGAGCTGCCTTAGTCACACCCCACTCCACTTGGATGGGAAAGAGGAGAGGGCCACTTCAAAGAACGGCACACCCTCAGGGGCCACGGTGTCCTCTTGTCCACCTCTCTCTTTCCCTCTCTCTCATCTCCATCACACACACACACACACACACACACNCACACACACACACACACACACACACACACACACACACACACACACACACACACACACACACACACACACACACACACACACACACACACACATACCCTCAGGGCAGGAAAGAGTTTGCTTTATTAGATTAGCATAATTGACTGATGCTGTCACAGCCATTCATAAGAAGTAAAATGAAGCACACTTCCCCAGCAAGTCAGCCAGCGTCAGCAGGCCAACATTTGTTTGTATTTATGTGCAGGTTCGAGTGCAGATCTGTTTGCATTGTGCATCTGCTGGTTTTCTTTTTTTTTTCTTTCTTCCTGCGCTTGTCTTGCAGACGCACGTGAGCGCGCGCCAGTCCGTCACATTTCTGTGTGTTTTTGTCAGCAGCATGAAACTGATGGCAGTGCGGATGTGAGCTGATGTGAGGTTAATTAAGATGGTGATTGAGCACAGTAGATGGGTAATGAATGGAGGAGAGAGGAGAGAGCTGCTGTCGGGGGATGAAAATGATCGGCCATGTGGAGTGTGGAGGGCATGAAATCAGAGATGCCAAGTGTAATGAAGACTGGCACATAGAACACACACAGGGACCCGTGTGAGTGACAGCATGGAGACTTTACCAGGATGCACATGCTCCGTGCCAGCGACGTGCCAACCTCAGACAAGGGACTGGGGAGGAGTTGTTATCTTTCACTCTCTCTGAGAATTGTTTTTTCATTTGACTCACCAGCTTCTGCCACAACTTATTTCAGCCTTGATCACAGGAATGAAATGGGAGAGAATTGGATATACAGTGTATGTCTCAGGAATCTACCACCTGTCTAACGTGTGTGTTTTCTTGTCTTATTGTTTTTCCTGTGTAGCTGCTGTTGACTACCTAGCCAAGAACGTGAGCTTGTCCACCCAGAGGAGGATGAAACTCGGAGACCACTCGGCCGTGCTGGGACTCCTGCAGGTGGAGACGGGACAGGCCTACTGAGGCCCTCGGGACGCACCCCGGACCTCTCTCCTCCACCCTCTGCCACCCTCCTCCATGCTCCATCAAGTCTGGACTCCCAACTCCAGCTCACCTCTCCGCTGCTCGATCTGCAGCCCAGGCCATGACATCAGCGCACGGGCACACACACGCAGCCATGCAGTGTTATCAGCGAAAAGTGACGCTTGTGGGTGTGAGAAGGATCATCAAGGAGTGATGGAACTAAAACTTTTCACACCATCGTCAACCACCAGGCGGCTCTGCACCTGCTCTCCTCAAATCTTTGGGCACCCCTAACTGCTCCTTGTTCTCACACCCCTTCCCCGAACCCGGTTTTGTTTTGCGGGGCCAGACAGGACCCCAGACGACCCAAGAATGGTCGGCTGCCTTGGGCCGGTTTCCCCTTTGTCATGGCTGCAGCCCAACACACATTTCGAGCCATCAACAACATGTACTCTGACCTAGCTGTTCATAGTAGTTAACAAAGCCAATATCATTTAAGTGACTCTTATTCTCGTTCCTTTTTGATATTGTTAAGATTATTGTTGCTGTTATATGATTATGGTTAATGTGATTTACGTTGTTCTTTGATTCCACTCGTATCTCTTTTCTCTGTTAGATGTCGGTCTGTAAAAACACAGTGGATGACTGAAACCATTTGGGAGTTGCGTGTCTGTTGCGTGTGCATGTTTGCGTGTCGGCACAGTCACACCAGAGAGGATGATTGTTTTCCAAGCTGCTGCTCCTCTGCCTGCTCCCTGAGCTCTAACGCTCATGAGCGATTTGACCTTCCCACTTTCATATTCGTCTTGACATTCCTAAAGAACTTGGCCACTCTGTGGGAAGTCTGGCTGGATGGATTCTGCAGGGAATTCAATCGGCGTTTTGTCGGCCAATAGTTTTCCCCTTCTAACCTCCATCCCATCCTTAGCCATGGTCCGTGGGGAGGCGAGCATTGTTTGCAAAAACAGGATTGGGGAAATTAATGTATTTTGTTTAGAAATATGGACCTTGCCAAGGAGGGCTAACTCGATTCCCCCCTCTGCTCCTCCCAAATCCTCCTCTACCAGGGAATCTGTGTGACTTAAACAGTGTAAAGCAGATTAAATCACACAAATATAGCGTCGACACTAATTCACAGTGACCCTTCCCATCGCCAGCCAGGATTCTGTTTTTTTGTGTGTGGAGTATTTAGCACATTCTGTAAATGCACCTTCAGTCATTTTTCCACTCTCAGACTAAATAATCATTCCTTTTTCCAGACATTCCTCAGGCTCCATTTAAAAACATACTATGAGCATTCCAGCGCTCTCTGTTATGAGATTAAAAAGCACACAAGCTGTGCCATTCACATGCATGCTGGAAAATCATATAATCCAGTCAGTTGTGAAAGGGCACAGGTAACAGCAATGATTGCCCCCATCCCCCTCCGCACCCCCCACCCCCCCACGTCCAATCCCCCACTTTGACTTCCTCTCTGAAATGTACAAAAAGAAGAAAAAAAACCTTAAAGAATAGTGAATATGAGACGTTTGTGTAGCACTCATAGTTGACTTGACACAATGCAGGACCTGCTGTTCCCTTGAGATGTATTATTATTTGTCTTTCATCGACATCAGTGCGATATTGATGATGTTTGTTAACTTCATCTCGAGACAGAATTAGGTCCTTGGTCACCTTCTAAAAACTGAAACCTGTACAGTAGCTGGAGCAGATTGTGTATTGTTTGTTTATAAAGAGTATGTTTTATACTAAAACAACACTATGTGGAGTGGTAGGTGAGCAAGGGATCTGTGGAAGTATTATTGTTTGAGTTGGCTTTTCATTATGAGTTTCTTTTACTTGTATTTAATTGGTTTTTAGCTGTTTTGACCAAAAGTTTTGTTTGTTGGTTGATTTTTGGGCCCAGGTGAGAATGAATTTGTATAAATTTAGTAAAATATAAATTCCATGAAAAAAAAAATTAAAAATTGTATAAAAGGGGATCGGACTGAAACACTCCCTGGACCACAGGACCGCTGTATATTTGAAAAAGTGGCCGGATGAACGTCTTCGCACGTCAGAGCGTTTTGAGGGTGTTCATGACCACAGACTGATTATTGGTGCAGACTGGACTCGACTGGACCCTGAACCTAACACACCTGAACTCCTGAGCCTGTCGGTGTGGGGGGTGGGGGGGGGGGGGGGGGGGGGGGGGGGGGGGGGGGGGGGGGGGGGGGGGGGGGGGGGGGGGGGGGGGGGGGGGGGGGGGACCAGTGATGACGAAGCCGGCGGAGTCGCCCCTCTGCTCTGAGGGGAAACTGAGCCGAGTCTTGTTTGATTTGTGGACCAATGAGACTTCACGGAGGAAAAGTCAAAGTCACGTCGAATCTGCACTGAACCGCAGCAGTTTCCGGCTGCTCCACTTAGACGCCTCACTCATGTGTATATTTTAAAAAGGAAGAATTTTAGAATTGTCTTTAGTGTATCAAACCCATTTCTAACACATTTGGATATTTAAAAGCATTCAACTCCTTATCCCCCTCCCGTCTGTTTGACCCTTAACCTTTTTAGTTCCTTTCTGACATCTGTGCTTTGCTTTACTCCTTCTTTCTGTTCCGCATGTGTATATATTATCATGGTATAATTTATTCTGCTGTATGAAGTATTAGAGTAGTGGGAAACTTGTATTGGTATTTACTACCTTCAGCCTGTTGGTGTGTTTACTGTAACACTGGCGTAACTGTTATCAATTAAAGATCCAAAATTTCTGCCATTTGTCTCCTTTCTTTATACAGTGTGGTTTTTTTTAACACTTTCAATATCTACTACTATAAATGTGTGTATGAACCCACAGGACAATAATTTACAGCTATTCTGATGTTCTCAAGAACCATTAAAATCATCAATTAAGCAAATTTTCCAGCTTCTCAAATCGTACACTTTGTTCTTTTTCATTTAACGTCATTATGAATTGAACATAGATGAGTTTTGGGCCTACAGAGTTCTACCTGGGCTGTGGAAAACTACGGATTTTTACCTCCACCATGGAGGTGATGTTTTTGTTTTGTTTGTCCGTCTGTTAGTTAGCCGGATCACACAAAAACTAAAACCCTAACACTGCTACACTAAGAGAAAATTACCAAAAAACTTGGTGGAAGGATGCGGTGTGGGTAAGGAAATAGCCAATAACATTTTGGGGCTGATCCGGATAAGGGGGTAAATCCAGTTTTTTTTTCCCACTTGCATTTAACTTTTCCATATTTATATTAATTTCTCAAAGAATAATTCATGAATCTTGATGGAAAAAAAGATGATAGTTTGAGCAATTTGGTGCAGATCCAGATAAAAACGTGTGCATATTGAGAATTGAAAAGTGGTTTGTAAGGAGATTGTACCTGAACTCTCTCTCTGCGCCTCCTGTCATAGTATTTGCTCACATTTAAAGTGAATAATAATAATAGTAACATACATATGCATATAGTTAACTAAATGCACATGCAGTTTCTCATATTTGCATGTCCTCCATGTGTTCACATACATCAGTGGAGCCAGCAGTGTCTGTTCCAGTGGTGGTGATGTGATTAAGGAGTGATGAAAGCTCAGACGTCCCAGACTCACAGACACACAGTGTGAGTGTGTCTGTGTGTTTCTGTTTGCAGCTGTAGGAAGTCACTCATTCATGCTCACTGACCAGCAGCGCTCTCCTCTCTCCCTCTGCTCCTGCTGGCCAGTGGAATGTTGTCTGCACGTCTCTGTGGTATGGCATGTATGCAGGGGAACTAACCGGTGTGGTATGGAGGCATCGGTTGTGCTTTATTTACACTGGAGCTCATTCAGGTTTTCACCCTCAGCACTGCTGGAGGTATGTCGGGCACGTCAGAGGCATGTTCACTCTGCTGACTGATTTTAAACACATTTCAAACATGTTGGAAGTGTCTGATCACTGCAGACACACACTGTCAACACTTAATCAGGCTCAGTTATACCACGAGAGATGTGTTTACATTTTATATATTACAAAATAACAACCAATTCTTTATTAAAAATTAAATGGAACGAATGAAAGGCATCATTAATCACTATTTATTAACATTGTTTACATCAAATTGTATAAGGAGATAAATTTGAAGCTCAATAAAGTAAGTACTGATCTGGATAAACTTCTATCAGACTATTTTATTATGAGGTAACTATCATTCATATTGAAAAGATATTTGAGGACAAGCATGAACAGATGCCAAATATTTAGTATTCACTTTGGATGTATTCAAAATAACTAAACTGCAGTTTTATCACAATGTTAAATCCTCAAGGCTCATATAGAAAAATTCTGATTAAAAAACACATTTAAAACAATGTGTGTTTTGCAGAGTGGGCTCTGCAGAAGTATTTCTGTGAGGCAGGAGTAAATTATTTAATTGATTCCAAAGCATACTTTCTGTCAATCCGAGGAGACAGACGGGTTTCAGTGGATCCCCTCAACATTTTTTAATAATATACATTGTGAGGTGGCTTTTTGCCTGCCATGTGTCATCCCTGATATATTCCTCTAAAAGTTTGTGTTCTGGTTGTCCAGATTAGACCCTGGCATGTGCCATGGTTGTCCCCTTTGCTCCAGCTCGTCTCCTGAGGTGCCAGCCCGGCAGTTTTGTCTCCCTCTGGTTTGCTGTCACTCAGACTGGACAAGGTGGCAGCTCAGGCGGTGTTGTGTGGGAGAGCTTTATGACACTTCGCTCATCTCCCGCTTTGATCCCCTAATTGATTGACTACAGGAGCAGGGGATAAACAGAGCCCACAAGAGCCGATTCCACTCGCCTCTCTGGAGTGGTTTAGATAAAGTGCAGGGGCCCGAGTGCTCCGTTCTTCCTCTCCCCTCTCTATATGGACACGCGGCCATTGGAGGTGGCTCTGTGCCATGGTAGCTTAGCTTTGGGCTGTGTCCTCAGGCCCGGGGCTTGCGTACTGCCCCTGTGCATAAATGGCTGGCGGTAATGGGTTTGTTTAGATCACAGGGATGGAAATGAAACTCCTGAGCCTCGCTGTAGAGACCAGGAGGCCCTATCGCTCAGGAGGCAGTGATAAAGAAGTCCCAACCTCAGCCTGGTCATACTCACTTTCAATCTGAGCCATGGAATAGGAGCTGTGATTCAGATCTAATTTAGGACCAGGCTCTTCAACCTGCATGCTGTGATAAATAACTGGCTGCTGAAGAGCAGGAAACCCGTGAAGAAGAAGAGGAAGAAGAAGAAGAGTGTAGAACACAAACAGCCAGTGAGGGCCTTCAGCGGAGAAAAATAGGCCAAAACATTTGAAGAAAATGTGTTTGAAAACATGACTTTAGAATGATTTATACCCGATATGATAATCATATTCTAATTTTACAAATCTGTCTTCAGAAAGTGAGTTCAGAGCCGTGTGCAGGTATGCTAAGAAATGATTAAGAGATGCTCTGGGGGTCTTGGTTTTATTCTTTGAGATTATGTGTCACAGGGAGTAAAAAGCTCCCAGCTGTCGCCATGAAAGCACTTACAGTATAATAATCCCCCAAATCCTGTAATTATGCCAGCATACGCCGTGTACCTGAGCCTCAGCTTTGTGCTCGTCACCTCAAGGATCCCACTGACACAGACGCACAGCTTGCTGTGCATATATCTTCTTCCCAACGGTGTGTTTTGCATAGGGAGAAAATCATATTTTCAGAACATTTGAGGTATTTTGAATTTCATGGTTACCCCCCTCATGTATTAGACAATCTGTCATGTATAAGTAATAAGTAGGAGCTCAAATAAGGTATTGTCGTAGCTTAAAGTCGTCTGATTTAGCAGAAACTCACAATTGTAAAAATCTTTTTACCTATATTGTATTTGATTCGTTTACATTTAGTTTATGAGAAAAGTGTCCGCTCTTTTGTTTGGTATTGCAAATACACGTCCTTACACAAAGACTCACCCCAATGCACACACCTCCCTCAAAGCAGATTTTAAAAAACTAAAGGAGATTAAAAAAAAAGTAAAGTTATAAATCTAAGAAATCTGAGTAAGATAAAAATCACTGTGAAGCCAAGCTTGATTTACATTTAAAATCTGAGCTGTGCTCTCAAACTAATTAATATTAATAACAAAAATGGAAATGAGTGCAGTGGCGGCCCTAAGTGAAGAACAAGCTGGGTGCATTCAGTCAGGAGATTCATATATAAGCCCTTTCTCAGGAGAAGTGGGCTCTAAACAGGCGTGACGGCAGGGCATAGACCGCCATACACAGAGACAATTTTTCTAGATAATAGCCTATCACGCAGGATACAATTTAAATTAAAAAATGCAATTTTCACCTTGAAATGAACAAATGATTACAATTTCTATACAAATTAAGGCATCCAGGCTGTGCCTCAGTACTGTGCCAAGGCCATGAAACCTGACATAATTACCATGAAATACATTTTCAAATATTTGTATTTTGTCCATCGCTTTAAAACATGCCACTCTGCCTTCTGTGGGTTTGTGATCTCACCTTCTGGGGGAAATACATAAAAAAGAGGGAAAATCATCAGAGATGAAAAGCTCTTCAACAGGAGAGATAAAAATGTGGGAAAAAAAACAGCCTCCCATACACACAGTAAATCAGCGCAGCTCAGCACAGCAGCCCCCAGAGCTATCTCTAAAAGCCAAATTACTGCTCCTTATCTAAGGAATCATATCTACTAGTTATCTGCTCCTGAGATAGGCTCCCCTCTCTCTCTCTTGTGCCTTGTGCTCATCGCCAGAAATGCTATTTATTTGTGATTACAGACACCCTTTGAATAAAAGATGTTTGTGTTTGAGATCCAAAGTTTCGGCAGATTCTGAACTCCTCAGATTCTTCAGAGAGGAGAGCACTGAAGGCAGAACACCTTATTTGGGCAGGGTTGCTAGGGGTGGTCTACTACAGAGAGAGGGATGAAAGTGTAGCCGATGGGAAATATGAGACAAGAACTCAAACTTCTCTGACTCTTCATATCACATACGCTTTCGGAGGGGATTCATACTGGGATGAGGTGTCGAATTGACTTTAAATGCAGAACCTTATGTTTGAAACACACGGAGGTTCGACGTTCTGGCAAGTATTTTGCAGTGAGCTGCCAAAAGCCGCAAAGTTTGAAGTTTTCAGAGTTTCTCGACTCAGAGCTATGTCTGCCCTCGACT